CCACCTTTGTATTTGAGTTCATCTGGGTTGGTTGGTTTTTCTTATATCCAAGAGACCTCTACCTCAAATATGTTTCATAGTTTCTAAGATCAAATACGCAGAAATGAGCTTAATTAAAACAGAGAAGATAATACTGACTATGAAAGAAAGCTATAGAAGTTTTAATCCTTAAAATAATCAATTCTGTCCTAAATACCCAGAAGCAGAACTGGATCCAAATGACCTCTCAAAGTTTCAGAATCCCTAGATTGATAACAGGTGATCATTTAAAAAATACACATTTATTCAGATAATTTGTTTATCAGTGACTTACACCATTCTGAAAAACAAAGTTAAGTAACTCTTTGACAAATTTATTCTCATTCAATACTCACATGCTCCTAAGGTGGCAGTATGAACATTCCCATTTTACAGATAGGATACTGAAGTGTAGAGAGACCAAGTGATTTGTCCAAGATCCTTTGACTGAGTTTTCTGGGTCTGGGGCTCTCCTCTTGAAAATCCCACTTTGGTCGGGCACAGTGGCTCAAGCCTGTAATCCTAGCACTTTGGGAGGCCGAGGCGGGTGGATCATGAGGTCAGGAGATGGAGACCATCCTGGCTAACACAGTGAAACCCTATCTCTACTAAAAATACAAAAAATTAGCTGGGCGTGGTGGCGGGCACCTATAGTCCCAGCTACTCAGGAGGCTAAGGCAGGAGAATGGCGTGAACTTGGGAGGCAGAGTTCGCAGTGAGCTGAGATCGCGCCACTGCACTCCATTCTGGGAGACAGAGTGAGATTCTGTCTCAAAAAAAACAAAAACCAAAAAAAACAAAAAAAACAAAAACCAAAAAACAATCCCACTCCATTTCATGGAAAAGTTTCATTACGACATTGAATAAACTGTGTGATCGAGAAGTAAAGTGCTTAATTCTGGGATGGTGAATATTAATTATGCAATGCTCTGTTTCTCTGCTGTGCTGATGTGTGAGAAGAAAAATTTCTTAAAATTTACTTATCTTCATTTCAACGGACGGTTATCATGTGGTTTGAATTACATCGATTGTCCATCATTAATGACTTCTCCACAAAGGGGGCAAAAAGGAATTTGATATCGTGATCAGGTCTGAAGTAGGTGACCATGAAGGCTGGTAAAATAGAGTCACATGTTTCTGGTACAGGAACATTAGTAAACATGAGAAGTGGGATGTCATAGTGAGAACAGCTTAGTCTTTATAGTGAGACAGACTGGGATTAAATGTGGGCCACGCCATTTGTCAACATTGAGACTTTCTGAATCTCAGTTTTCTCATTTTTAAACAGGAATAAAAACACGCATCTCTAGAGCTTAGTGCTTGGATTTGGCAAAATGCATGACATCTGGTACATATAGTACGAGTTCAATAGACAAAAGCTAATATTATTTTCATGTTCAAAGTCAATGGAAAGGGTTGGCTATAAAAACCCTCTCATACCAACACCCAGATTATTTTATCATATTATCTTTAGATATCTCATTTACAAATGTAGAAATGTGGGTTTACAGGGGCCCAGGGGTGGGATGGTGAAATACTCTTTCATTGAGAGAAAAAAGGAAAGTTTATAAAATTTCATGAGTATATTCATTTTTACTGCTACTGTAACAAATGATCACACATTAGCTTCTTAAAACAACACAAATTCGTTACCTTAGAGTTCTGTAGGTCAGAAGTCTGTCATGGGTGTCTGTGAGGTATCAAGATACCTGTAGGGCTGTTTCTCTCTGAGGCATCTTTGGAACAGTCTGTCTCTTGGTGCATTCAGGTTGGCAGAACTCAGTTCCTTGTGACTGTAGAACTGAAGTCTTTATTACCTTTCTGGCTATCAGCTAAGGACTGTTCTCAGCTTCCAAAGGCCATCTGCATTCCTTGGCTCATGGTCCCCTACCTCTATTTTCTTTTATTTTCTTTTTTTTTTTTTTAAATGAGACAGTCTCACTCTCTTGCCCAGGCTGGAGTGCAGTGGCCCAATCTCGGCTCATTGCAAGCTCCGCTTCCCAGGTTCAAGTGATTTTCTTGCCTCAACCTCCCGAGTAGCTGGGACTACAGGCACGCACCACTACACCCAGCTAATTCTTGTATTTTTTTTAGAGACAGGGTTTCACCATGTTGATCAGGCTTGTCTCAAACCTCTGACCTCATGATCCACACGCCTCTGCCTCCCAAAGTGCTGGGATTATAGGCATGAGCCACCGCGTTTGGTCCCCTTCTTCCATTTTTAAAGCCAGCAATAGTGGGTTGAGTTTCTCTCAAGCTGCCACTTCTCCTCTTCTTCCATTGTTGCGTCTCTCTGACCTACTCTTCTGTCTTACTCTTCCACTTCTAAAAACTCATGTCTTTATATTGTTTCCACCTGGACACTCTAGAAAACTCTTCCCAACTCAAGGTCCATACCTTAATTGCATCTGCCAAGTCCCTTTTGCCATGGAAGGAAGCATGTTCACCGGTTTCATGGATTAGAGAATGGACATCTTTGCGGGGAGGATGAGTTTTTCTGCTACCAAGTGAGAAATAGCACAGAACTGTGTCTTCCAAATATGGAGTTGTTATGCATGATTCACAGTACATTCCAGTTTGCAAAATAAATGAGCTGGTGTCAAAAATACCCGCTTACCCAGACAGAGAGAAAACACATGATTGTGCATAATTTGGCTTCTGCTTACCTTGCTCATCTCTCACCATTCTTATTCCTCTTTTGATACACTATCCTTATACTGAACTTTTTATTCCCAGAAAGAGAGTGAATAGACAAATACTGGCCAGGTCATATCTGATAATAAAACTCTGACTGACAAAGGAAACCCAGAAAGTCAAACCACAGCCTCTGCAGCAAGCAGCCCAGAATAGTCACAGTGTGGTCAACTGATACCTTCTCTATTTTCTACCCCCTGCTCCCTGCTTCCAACTCAGGAGCAACCAGAGAAAACCAAATATGCTCCCCAAACTAATCACAAAGGATGCCCTGCTTCTAGTTAGCGCTCCAATGCTTCCCAAGGCCAACAACCTTTAATCAGGGCACACCCAAGGGTTCTCTTTTTTCCACTCTAAAGCTTTTCCTCTGTCCTGACTGTATTTGAATACCTGCCAAATGCAAGTATTGGTGGCCGACTCTCTTGATACAGCAAACTCTGAGTAAATAGTCTGTTTTTCTCGTTTGAATGGTCTTTATTTTAACATTTCCTTTGTGTTTTTTTGTTTCCTCTTTTTCTCTTCCTTGATCACATTTTTCTCCTCACCTTAAGTGATTAACTTGTATTCCTATTTTAAATATCAGCTTAGATGTCACTAATAACAATAATAATTACTATTTTGATGATCGCTAACCTGTACTGAGCCCTGACCATATGCCAAGAACTGTTCTAAACATGTTTAATTTATCTACTCATTAAACTCTCACAACAATTAATTGAAGAAGGTTTCTATTATAATCCATATTTCTCATACAGGAAAAGATAATTCAGAGAGATTAAGGATCTTGCCCAAGGTCGCAGAGCTAGTAGGTGAAAGGGTTAGTACTGAATTTAGGTGGTCTGGCACCGTAATTCACTCTTGAAACAATTACGCTACATTGCTTTCAGAATATTTTCAAATACCCTGAGTTTAGGATGGATATCCCTTTTCATAAATTAAACAGGACTCTGTACTTATCCCTTAAATTGGACTCTGTACTTTATCTGTACTACCTTTTGTAGATAAAAAACAGTACTCTGTACTTTATCTACTACTCTGTTGTAATTGTTTATGAATTTCTCTGTAGTCTCTGCTAATAAGCTCCCTGAGCACAAGGGTAGTATTTGTTTTGCTTATGTTTGTATGTGAAGCATGTAGCAGTTTCTCTATCAATGTGTATTAAAGGAATTAACAAACCAATGATCGAATGAATGAAATGCATATAAAAGTATGTTGTTATTTTTAAAAATTGAAGGCTCCTAGGTTAAGAAAAAAGAAAGGGACGTTTTCCTTAGGCAAACTTTCAATGCAACACACTTCTACATATGACTTCATAATCTTTATCCAGGAAACAACTTCTTAAAACAGGGCAGCTTCTCTTGTCTAAGCTTAGGTTGCCTCCATGTTTTTAAATATAAAACCACATGAAGTACTAACATCAGCCTCTCCAGAAAGCCTGTTCCCAGCTAAGCATCATCATTAAGCTAGATTCAGTGAATTCTTGACATAAATTCTGAGCCAGGGCATGTTCAATTTAGAAACTTTCTTCTGAACTCGGCAGCAAGCCTAAAAACTCTGTCTTACACACTTGCAGTCCTGGAAAAATCAGATGAGAGCCAGAGGTGGCTGTGTATCCCCATGAGCAAACCTTCAGCCAGGTACTCTTAATGTCCTAAGCCTCTGGCTGTCTGCCCTTGTAACCCAGATTCTGGGGCAGATGTTGAGCTCTAGTTCATTCTCAGTAGGTCTCTTTTCCTAGACTTGTGAGACTAATAGACCTGGAAAAGCATTAAGGCAGTCATCTGGTTCAATTCCTTTACTTTATACTTAATACCATTGGATCCATGCATTTATTAAACAAATATTTATTAACCTCTAAATTTCTGGTACTCTCCCAGGATTTGGAGATCCAGAGGTGAATTAAACAAGCCCCCTGCTATCATGGGGCTTGTATTCTAGTGGGGCTAAGGGACAAAAATGAGCATACATAGAAATGCATGAAATCATTTGAATAAGTATGAAAGTAACACAAAGTTAGATAACAGCGATCTGCCTAAATGTATCCATTTCAATACATTTATCTTTCAATCATGTCACCCCATTAAACTCCTACTTCTTGATCAACTACTCTTCTTTGGAATTCTCAGTATTTCCTCTCAGTCTTTCATTGATTGTATTGAGGAAGTAATAAAACTTGTTTTGAATAAAAGTCATTCAGAAAATTATTTGATCTTCTCCCTTTTTAAAATTTATTGCCAATATACTACAAATAACTTTTCTTCTTTGAACACTTTCTTTTTTCCTCCTAGGAATTGATTATTACAACAAGATCATTGATGATTTGTTAAAGAATGGGGTTACTCCCATCGTGACACTCTACCACTTTGATTTGCCTCAGGCTTTAGAAGACCGAGGAGGTTGGTTGTCAGAGTCTATCATTGAATCCTTTGACAAATATGCTCAGTTTTGCTTCAGTACCTTTGGGGATCGTGTCAAGCAGTGGATCACCATAAATGAAGCTAATGTTCTTTCCGTGATGGCATATGAGTTAGGTATGTTTCCTCCGGGTATCCCTCACTTTGGAACTGGAGGTTATCAGGCAGCTCACAATTTGATTAAGGCTCATGCCAGATCCTGGCACAGCTACGATTCCCTGTTTCGAAAAGAGCAGAAAGGTATGGTGTCCCTATCACTTTTTGCGGTCTGGTTGGAACCTGCAGATCCCAACTCAGTGTCTGACCAGGAAGCTGCTAAAAGAGCCATCAAATTCCATCTGGATTTCTTTGCTAAACCCATATTCATCGATGGTGATTATCCTGAAGTTGTCAAGTCTCAGATTGCCTCCATGAGTCAAAAGCAAGGCTATCCATCATCGAGGCTTCCAGAATTCACTGAAGAAGAGAAGAAAATGATCAAAGGCACTGCTGATTTTTTTGCTGTGCAATATTATACAACTCGCTTAATCAAATACCAGGAGAACAAGAAAGGAGAATTAGGTATTCTCCAGGATGCGGAAATTGAATTTTTTCCAGATCCATCTTGGAAAAATGTGGATTGGATTTATGTGGTACCATGGGGAGTACGTAAACTACTGAAGTATATTAAGGTAAATGCATGATTTTTTGTGTGTCCATTACACCCAAATATGTGAAGGTGGGCAAGACAGGCATATGTATATGTATATATGGACCTGAAAAAGAATTACTTTAGGTAATAGCATATACATTTGCTGGCCTGGGAAGAGCAGATTAAGATTTGAGCTGATGAGAAGTAACTAGCTAGTAAAGGTTTCAAAAGCAGTGGTCAAAGTCTAGGATTTGTTGTTAAAGTTAGTTGTGGCTATAGAAGTAGTTTGGATATATTTTTCAATCTGGTGTCACAACTATGATTATAAAAGACATTTTAAGGATTGAGATAGCTGGATCTTTTTTTTTTGATTCTCAACTATATTGGATGACATCCAGTTAGCTAAAATTAAAATTTCAAGTACAGGTTTTCAGAACCCCTCCTGTGGGGGATGTCGAATGTAGCTGCTGGCAGGACTGAGGGGTTAAGGAGCAGTGACAGTCAACAGATGCTGATGGAAGAAAGATATTTCTGTCTTCTCATTATAATGAGAGTCATTTGACTGTCTTCATGGACATTTGCACAGTTTTGCGTTTCCATTGTTAGTTATAAAAGGTGAATGCATGGAAAATTAAGTTAATAGGGTCAGTGCAATTTGATGAAAACTAGTTTTGGGATTGTAGCTTACAGAAGATAGAGGGTAATGTACCTGATTTTATGAGCTTTTTTTTTAAAAACATCTGTTTGGAATAACATTTCTGTTCTCTTTTTCTAGGACACATATAATAACCCTGTAATTTATATCACTGAGAATGGGTTTCCCCAGAGTGACCCAGCGCCTCTTGATGACACTCAACGCTGGGAGCATTTCAGACAGACATTTCAGGAACTGTTCAAAGGTACCATTTGAAATGATGAGAGATCAATTGTGCAAACTTAATATAATTTTCCCATTTGCTTATTTGCATTCAGCAAAGACCAATAATTTTTGAAAGGTGAAATCCATGTAAATCAATGTAAAGCCATAAAATTAGGAGGTGGGGGGAAAGTAGGAAAGAAGAAGTGGAGGATTTTGGCCTAGCTACAACCTCCTGAAATTGAATCAAGTAAAAAGTGACTGTCTTCAGCATTTTGTGACTCCCGGGTGAAGGTGACAAGAACAGAAGGAGTGGTGGCTGTTGGGAGAGAACATCAGTTATTACAAAAAAGATTAGCACTGATCAACTATAACATGCTTATTTGCATATTTTAATATCCCAACTACCAAAAAAAAATGAAATGACAGGATTTTTAAAGAACCCAAATTAAGCATCTGTGCAATAAACTTAAAAATGGCACAAGTCCTCCATCAATGTGTGTTGCATTTAAGCTGTAACCAAGCAGCCCAGTTAGACACGTTTTTATTGTCGTATGGAAAATGTGAGTTGTGTTTTAAGATAATGTTGTTATTTTAGTACCTCTTTTCCCTCCATGGAATTCCTTACATATGAATTCTTATCATATTTGAAAACAGTCATGAAGGAATAATCTTTAATTGGTAACACAGATTTCTAGGCCAGTTAGCACCTCCTCTCCCATTATTTGTTGCTTCCTCCTTTTTTTTTGAGATGGAGTTTCGCTCTGTCGCCCAGGCTGGAGTGCAGTGGTGCTATCTCCGCTCACTGCAAGCTCTGCCTCCCGGGTTCAAGCCATTCTTCTGCCTCAGCCTCCTGAGTAGCTAGGACTACAGGCTTCCACCACCATGCCAGGCTAATTTTTTGTATTTTAACTAGAGATGGGATTTCACCGTGTTAGCCAGGATGGTCTTGATCTCCTGACCTCGTGATCCACCAGCCTCGGCCTCCCAAAGTGCTGGGATTATGGACATGAGCCACCGTGTCCAGCCAATTCCTCCTTCTTAAAAAGGAATCATGTCATAGCAACAAAATCCAATGTAAAATGAGACTTTAAATTTCCTTTTTTTAAAAAAACCATGATAGCCACACTTAATTTTTATCATTCTGTTTGAGAGGTTCCAACATTATTCTTTCTAAAATTATTCAGTATTACACTGGTAATAACCAGAAGGAATTCTGGAAAGTGACACAAAGTTGTCTTTTTCCAAAACTTGAAATTTATTGACGGATCCTTCACTCAGACCTGGGGTTTATTGGCAGAGAGCAATTGGATTCTTGCAATTTGACCCAAGTGAAGAAATTATTTTGTATTACACACAAAATAGATTCTTCTGGGTAGGAGTTCGTCTTCTGATAAGAGAGGGAAATCTCTAGTTTTCTGAGATTCCTCTCCACTTCTCCCTGTAGATGGGTCCTATTCATAGTTTGTCTATTGATATTCCCAGGCTTTATCCTGAAGAACAAATAGGCTAGTTACTATGATTTATGGATGGCTACAGGGAACACAAATGACTTGCCTAAAATTGCTCTGTGTATTTTTGGGAAAAGAGAGATAAAGAGAAATTGCTTTTTTTTTTTTTTTCCTCCATTCCCAGCCTGGTACTCTGTTCAGCACTAATCATATAGACGCATTTCATTGTTTTTTCAAATAGTTTCAAGTGCTTTACACCATCCTTTAGATCTTTAATGCTAAACACTTAATGATTGACCCCAAACTAAGGTGACTTAAGGATAGAAAAGTAACAGAAGGTAAGAGTGCAAAATGAGAAAAGATTTGGGTTTCTAAGAGACAGGAGAGAATAGGGTTAGGACAAAAAAATAAGTGTTTCAATTTGTTGAACTTCTAATTTGTCTTCAGATTACTTGATGAGAAGTTTATTAGGCATATAAAACATTTACTGTCTACAGCATCTGTGTTCTCTTTTGAATCTTAACAGCAGGTTAGCTATATTCACTGTAATAGACACATACTATTTTTGTTTTGTCTTTTTAAAAACCTGTAGACGGTTTAAATGTGTAGAAATGTATATATTGAGAAGAAAAACATATGCATAAATGTATTTATTCTGGTCTGGGTATAGTGGTGTGGTAACTTTTTTTGAAACGGAATCTCACTCTGTCACCCAGGCTGGAGTGCAGTGGCGTAATCTTGGCTCACTGAAAGCTCCGCCTCCCAGGTTCACGCCATTCTCCTGCCTCAGTCTCCTGAGTAGCTGGGACTACAGGTGCCCACTACCATGCCTGGCTAATTTTTTTTGTATTTTTAGTAGAGACGGGGTTTCATCATAGCCAGGCTGGTCTCGATCTCCTGACCTCATGATCTACCCGCCTCGGCCTCCCAAAGTGCTGGGATGACAGGTGTGAGCCACCACGCCAGGCTGTGGTGTGGTAACTTTTTTATGAATTCTCATAGTGGACACCAATTATTTCTGCTGCGGTGCAAGTCTCTTTCCCCTTTCTTCTGTAAAATATTCACCTCCCCATCTACTTGCTTACCACAGGGACATCCGTGCAAGTGGAATACAATCCTCCTCCTTGAGCAGATAATTGACTGGTCCAAAGTAGGCACAGGACATGAGCTGGGACAATTTCAGTTCTTCCCTGGGACTTAGAACGTGGACCAATTAGTTTCTTAATCTCTTGGACTGGGTTGGGTGGGTGTAGCTTTGTGAGCCACCAGTGGCTCGATTCTACCCTGTAAGCTTAGGCACAGTGAGAAGGGAAGATGTCCATTCATTAAAGGAAGGAAAAGGAAGAACTTCCAGACAGCGTTGGAGCCTCTGCTTTTCGTTTTTCCTGAGATCTGTCTGCGTGCAAGTTCTCGAGAGAACATTGCTTTCATCATAATAAAGTGCTCTTTGTGCTTAATCTTATTCTAATTGGGCTTTTATCTCTTGAATACAAAGAGTTTTAATTGAAACCATCATCTCGTTTCCTTCTCAAAACCTCAAATGACCTCAAAAAGTAATGAGGTCATTACTCCTACTTTATAGATGAGGAAACTGAGTTTCAAAGAGGCTACATTATTTGCTAAAGATCATAAAGTCACTAAGTAGTATTTTTTGGAACAAGGCTGAATGCATGTATATTATTACTATTGTTAACTATTTGGTGTGAGATATAATCTGTCAGTTCAGAGCTCTCTGAGTTAAAGTGTTTATTTGTTCCCCAACACAGAAACTTTTCCTTCTATTTGGTTACTTTGGCCTTGCGTGTATTCTTTCAAAGTGCTTCAAGCTGTCTGTGAATGAGCTGACAGGTTCTGTGACCTTGAGCAAAGCTCAGACGCCTCATATCCTAGTTCTCATCAAAAGAGCTGAGCTGAACTTGCTAATCAATTTTCGGAGACTCCTCCGAGGTAATGCTGATGATCTTGGTTGGCAAGAACTTTACTAGTAAGAAGCACCCTGTGAGCAATTAAAAATAATAACAGGCCAAGGACGATATTCCTGGGAAGCGCTGCAGGTGAGAACTCACCAAAACCCAGGAAGTCAGATGGATGATGGTTCTGTGATTCCCGCGAACAAAGCCTTTCCTCCGACATCACACATATGGACAGGCACATAATGACACTATAGATGGATCAATGGGTCCGCTTGGAGGTCTTCAGGTAGATTCCCACAGCAATTAATCGAGCGTTAAAAGGTATGCTAATGTTTCTGTTTCCTTTCGGGATATGAGAAAAGAAAAAGGAAAAAAAAATGTCATTTTAGAATAAAAAGAGAGAAATCAGCTAGTGCCTTTTAAATCTTTGCATTGTTTAATTGTATGAAACGCTTTTAAATAGGTTATATTTTAATTAATGTAGATGCAGATAAGAGTAAAGGATGCCCAAAACTTGAAATAACATATAACTAGATTTGCATTCTAGATCTGCAAATTATTCAATAAGGGCCTTTACCAAATCACTCAAATCCTCAGTTTGTTTATCTATAAAAATGGGGATAATGTTTTTATTTTTTTTTCTGGCAGGGTTGTTATATCCAGATTCCATTTCATGAGCTAATGTGTAAAATTCTCTTAGCAACTGCCTGACCCATAGTAGCCCCTTAGCCAACAGTAACAATTATTATTATTACAAAATGTGCACTCTTAAAAACATATCTATTGCCTCAAAGTTATTCTCCTTGTTATTTAAAAAATGCCATTCCAAGACTCGTTATCTTTCTATTGCCCCACAAATTACAGCAGACTATTTCCCTACATTTGCGTGTTTCTCTTCCTTTTTGAGGAACTTCTGGATTGGTCCTCTGGCTTTTTCTAGTGTGAATTGCATGGAGGAGAAAGCAGCACCCCCATTCATTATTTCCCTCTGGGAGGTGACCAGATTAGGTGAAAAGTCAAATCGTTGACAGTGGAAACTGCTGTCAAGCAACTGGGAATTGTTCTGCCACATGGATCTCTGTGTAAGTTTAGGATTCAATGATGTTCAAATAGTTAAAATGTTCTCGTATCATAGGAATTTTTATTATATTCATAACATTTACGCCACGCCTTGATACTCTAGAGCCAATGGGCAATTTTGGCTTCATATGTAGATGCACACAAATGGATCCCTCTCTAGTCTAAATGCTTTCATGGAGATGAGGAAGGATAGGGAGACAGGTGCCATTGCTCCAATGGCCGATACTGCCCCCATCACCTAATTCTCTTGAAAGGGGATCTGAGCGGTGCTCAACCTGTTTTTCATACCTACCCAGCACATGTGTGCTTTTAGCCTGGCTTGTGATCCTTCTTCCACCTGGAATGCCATGCTGTTTGCTTTCTTCCTGGCCCAGTTTTGTTTGAAGCAGATGAGCATGCTTGAAGTCGGAGAAAACATGGGTTTGAGACCCTGGTTCTGCCCATTATGAGCCCAAAACCTTTGGGAAAATTCTTAAGCAGGCAACCACTTCAGTCATCTAGTCTCTAAAATGGGGATAATAAGAACATTGATCTTCTAAAGAGTGGTGAAAAATGAGCAAGATAATGCCTATGATGCCTAATAAAAGTCTGGCACATTTCCTAAGGATTCTGTAAATGATGACTGATTTTTTTTGGGGGGATGGAGGGTGCTGTGAATTCTCTGAGGGTTGGAACTGTGTCTTTTTTTAATAATTATATCTTCAGCTCTAAGCACCGTGACTGTTATATAGCAGTGTTATACACATATTTGTTGAATTTGGTTCTCTCATGGAAAGGCTAGATAATGAATAATGAGAAATAAATGACTAAATGGTTGGGAGGCATATTTTCTTTCCCTGAAGAAATATACCCCACACATTAAAAAAAAAAAATGCAGCCTTCTCAAAAGTTTCTGAGCCAGTCCAACTTTCCAGGCAGATCCATGCCTGAGTTAGCACAGCGGTAGATGATTGCAGAGAAGGTTTGTTAATGACCAGCTTTCAGCTTTTAATGACAAAACCCCTCAGCAAGATGTCATCGAAGTTATTGAAGACTTCACTGAAAGTGTTGAAGCTGATACATTGTAACAAGAAGGTTATAAATCTTGCAGCTTGGATATACCACCAAGACAAGATGCTGAGCACAGAATCACCCCGCTGTTGTCTGTCAGCATTCTCCCTCCCCCTACGTCTTTCCCTTCCCACGGAGAGCAGGTAAAGGAGAAATACATCTATTTCCCAAAGTAGTGCAGACCTGGCAGCCACCTGCCTATGCCAATTTCAGATCACAGGGGCCCATTTAACTGGACAAAATGTGTTAAGCACCTGTGTTTTTCTAAATGTACATTAGACAAAAATCCGAAGCATTAGGGAAAGAACTCAAAGGTTAATACGGTGACCTTTTAGAAACACCAGCCAATTAAAAATCCATTGCAAGCTCAGAATAGAGACCCAAATTCCTGAATATAGATTCTCGCTCTGTATCTATTGTTTTATTGCTTCTCAGAGGACATCTTTGTCACCTTGGCCCCTAGGAAGCAGTTCATCTCATAACTCCTGTTAAATAAAACTGTATGGCTTTGGGGCCATGTGGGGTGGGATTGGATTGACTCAGCACTGCTAGTGAGGCTGCTCCTGGCTGCACTGGATGGCTGCTAGCCTCAAGGGGCCAGGTCAGAACACAGAGGAAGAACAAGGTTTGAAGGCTGGGCATGAGAATGGCTAGTGGGTACTAGTATAGAGTGTGCAATTTTTGTTTTTTAATTTTTTAAATTGACAAAAATTGTATCTATTTATTGTGTACAGCATGTTGTTTTGAAACATGTATACAATCTAAAATGCCTAAACACATGCATTACCTCACATACTATTTTGTGTGTGTGTGGTGGGAACACTTACCATCTACTCTTTTAATAATTTAAAAGAATATAACACATCGTTATTAATTACAATCACCATGTTGTACAATAAATCTCTTGAATTTGTGCCTCCTATCCAACTGAAATGTTGTATCATTTGAAACAGCATCTCGTGAATCCCCCAGACTCATAAATGAGATCATTTATGTCTACGTATGCTCTGAGTGCCTTAAAATGTTAGATGTTATTCTCACCATCTTTGCTTCTATGAGATCCACTTTTTTAGATTCCATGTACAAGTGAGATCGTGTGGTATTTGTCTTTCCGTGCCTGGTTTCTTTCACTTAACATAATGTCCTATAAGTTCACTGGTGTTGTTGCAAATGACAGGATTTTATTCTTTTTAAGGTCAAATCGTAGGACCATGCTATTTTGGTTACTGTAGCCTTGTAGCATAGTTTAAAGTTGGGTAATGTGATATTTCCAGCCTCGCTCTTTTTGCTTAAGATTGCTTTGGCTACTCGGGCTCTTTTTTGGTTCCATATGAATTTTAGAATAATATTTTTCTAAATCTGTGAAAATGACACTGTATTCCCCATTTTCTTTATCCATTCATCCATTGTGGACCCTTAGGTTGATCCCGCATCCCGGCTATTGTGAATAATGGTGCAGTGAACGTGGGAATGCAGATATCTCTTTGACATACTAGTTTCATTTCCTTTGGATACATGGTAGTTTTACTTGTGGAATTTGAAAAGTCATGAAGAAAATAATTTCTTATGTTTGTGTCCCACTAGTCTACATATGTAGACCACACTTAGACTCAGATAGCCAGGGTTTACAGAGTTAACCTTAAAAAGGAATATGCCATATGCCCTTCTCATTTATTTCCGCCTACTACTTCCACCCATGGCATGCTTGTCATTTGCCCTTCCTTCTCACTTGGAAGTACGGAAGAGTAGAATGCACTGAAGTAGAAAGTCTGCAGGCTTTGGAGAGGAAAGATGAACAGAGTTCTGTGTTCTAGTGGTGTACCTTTGGGCAAGTCATCATTAGTACTCTCTAAATGTCAATTTCCCCATCTGTAAAATGGAACTAATGCTAACTGCTGTTCTGCCTAACCCAAGGTCAGTTGTGAAAATAAAATGATATCATTTATATCTGCATATGCTCTGAACACCTTAGACTGTTAGATGTTATTCTCATATTTGATATATGTACTTTATGCGTCTGCTTAAGGATATTCATCACTCTGGTCAAAATACATTATCTGGACCTCAACATTCTCCACTGCCAAGGAAAGGGGTTGGTGCTCATTATTTGGTTCTTTTCAAAATCTAGATTCTCAGATTTTATGAATTTATTTCCCTGCACATTTCTGAGCTGCTGTAACAGTGCAATCAATTTAAGCATTTTTAGAGAACATGTACTATGACCTAGTGATAAATATAGTGCATAATAAAGTCCAGAATAACACACACACACAGAAATATCTATCTATCTATCTATCTATCTATCTATCTATCTATCTATCTATCCATCTATCTATCTATCTATCTTTGTAAGTTTATGTAAGTTTTTTGATGAGCTATTTCACCACACTTGTCTGGTGAGGCACATATTGATGTGATAAGAAACCTAAACCATTTATCAGGTACATTCTCTTAGAAACATAGAACCTGGTATACCTGCTTCACAAGAACAGGTTTCATGGAGTTGCCCATGTGAGAAGCAGCTCGATCACACATCAGAGACTCTTCCCTTGTGCTTTTTAACTGGAAACCATTATCTTCTCTGTCTGTACTATTCCAATATCTATGCTGTGCCCCAACTGATGGACATCGCTTTGGGCTTTTTAACTCAGTTTCAACTACTCTGAAGTGATAATTACTTAAAGTCTCCCACCATCTCAGGTCCAGTGAATTTTAAGAATACTATAAAGCCTTTTAAAAAAAAATCAGATGATTTCAAACTAACTTTTCTTTTTTTTTCAGAAAAATGTATAGTGTAACAGTAAGCAGAAGCTCAGTTTTTGTTTTCATAACTGTGAAAAAGACCAATAAGGAAAACAATTGAAGTGTAATTTATCTGAAAAAAATTAGCCTTTCCAATATGAAGAGTTGACTGAATGGAAACTAGAAAAAGGGGAAGGGGGAGAAGAGAAAGAATTCAATAATGATTTATATTATTTATTGATTTATCTATTCTTTTTTATTCCCTAGATAGCTTCAGGGAGGATTCAATAATGATTTTTAAAAACTGTCCCAGGAGAGAGCCATGTTGGAATATTCAAGTGATCAGAGGGATACTGGAATTGAAGCAAGGTGAATTTCTCAGGTTTCCTCCAGAGTGTAGATGAAGTGGTCCTCAAGCATCTGTCTACATTAGCTCTTATTCCCTGATCTCCAGAATAACCTGATTACTATATGCTTCTTAGTCATCTTGGGAGTGAAAAAGCACTGCCTTTGAATAAAGCCAGTAGAGTTCAATTTTAGTGTGATTCACAGGCATTGCCTGGATAACTGTGTTAAGGATTCTATTGGATAGCTATGGGCTCATGGAAAGAATCCAAAGAAGTAGATGGTCAAGTGCTATCTATTTCTGCTCAGGAAACCTAACATGAGTTTTCCCATGCTTGGAAAGAGATATTCCTCATTATAAATTAATACATTGACATTAGGTTTTGTAAATAAAAATCTTCTTCATTAGTAGGGATTAGCTCTGGGTGCAGTGGAAAAAAAAAAACGAAATTGTGCTTTGCAGTGCTGATTATCAGACCTTAGGCAATGCTGATCTCACCAGTTCTATAACCTTCCTCTCTGTAGTCTTCTCCTCTTACCTTTTTAGAGCTTCAATGTTGCTTATATTTGTCAGTTGCTCTACAGTGATATAAATATTGTTTCTGCCAACTTTCACAGACTCCTGTTTGTGTGAATTACTTGTTCACTACCTCCTATCTTATTTTTTTCAATAGTAAGCCTGATGCTATGTAGACAAAAGTCAGCAATATTGTGATTAAAAACATTAAAAATTGATGCCATGACCACTGCATGGGCTTCTAACAGCGGCGTTGTAACAAATACTTGTTGAGTAAGACAATTGAATATATGAAACTTGAGAGATACTTTGATTCTTGAAGACAATATCCATGATAATCTTTGAAAAAAAGAAGAAGAGCATTTTCAGGAGAAAATGAAAGTTATTAAAAGGTATAAGAACTCATAGGCGGAAGAAGTGTACCTAAAGATTTTATTCACCATTTTTAAAGACAAAATTCTCACCAGAAAAAAATTTTGGAGTTTTGAGCAATATACTCAGCATTCACTGAGTGCTCAGTAAATGTTTAATAACTTGCAAGGAGATTCAGCTTAGATTAGCAGAAAAACTGAATTACTTCTGGGAATTTCAATGAAATATTAGACTTATACCACCATTGTGCTTTTTTGACTTCTAAAGAAGTGGCAGATTATTCTCTTATAAACAATTTGTATGCATTGGAATATGCATGAATGCTAATTATATCCTTTTGATATTAAAATTCCATTTGGGACAACAATAATTTAAATATATGATAGAGTTTTAAAGCTCTCGTGTACAAATTCTCTTAAGTGCTCCATGCCTCAGTTTCTTTAATTGAAAAATAAAAGGGTTGAACTAGCTGATCTTTTGGGATACTGCCAGCCTAAGAATTTCGTGACCTTCTAGATAGTCCTTCTGCAGAAGTATGTCATGGATCACATTTTATTAGAACTCTTGATAATTTCTTAGGCTATAAAATTTAGTCTAAGGAATTATAATTAATGGTCTTTTTTATACAGAAAAAAACCTCTCTTCATTCTTCTTATCCTGCTACCTAATTTGAAATTTAACACCTTTCTTATATGGACATAAAATTAGACCTTGCTCTTCAGTGTGCTGTTTCTATTGATATTGATTCAGGTTCCAGGTAACATTTTCTTGACCTTCAATCTGAGTATTTCCTCTTCTATTCATTCACATTGAAAATGAACCTCACCTTTCTTTGCTTGAGGAAGTTTTCCCTCGGAGTTCATGGAGTCAGAAGGGCACTTCAGACTCAAGTTTAACAAAGTTACTGTAGACAGCATAAAATCTCAGAGAGGAAACTGGATGAACCAACTCATTTCAAAGCATTAGTATAAAATCCCCAGCTGAACAACTTCACAGCAGTTACAATCACCAGCAGTAAAATCACCTTTCAAAACACGATTATGGCAAGAGGCACCGAATCTATTAAATTTTAAGATAGTTAAGTATGAGCTTTTGAACTTTGCCATAAATGCATAATTTAATTCAATTAGATAGCGTAGTAATTTTAACTTTACTTATATTTAACTTGAACGCTAAACTTTTGTTTCTGGGCAAGATCCTGAATTAGAAGGAGGGATCATGTTGCAGCATTTTCAGAATTACAGTCTCATCATAAGTCTGTGCAGAGACTTCACGTAGGCAAGTCTGTTTTTCTATTCTGACTTTTGAGCATAGAGCTTATTCCAATCAGTACTGCTTTTACCGCAAGTTACTGTTTAGGTAGCATTTTCTTCAATACAATGAAAATATCACCCTGGTGCTAGAGATGAAAATAGTTTCTTTTGGAAAGTAATTCTTAAGGCTTATCTGAAAAGGCTATGTGCAGAGTTTGGGGAGAGAGGCCCGTCTCACTAAATAGGGTCATCTCATCAACAGCAAAGTATTCTGTGTGTTGAGATTAGCTAATGCAACAGTATCATGGCCTGAGATTAGTTTGTGCTATCCTAAAACTTGGCCACATTTCCCCCCTTGTTTGTGAAAGTCCATTATGGGAATCACTGCCTGCTTTAAAAATAAGCGACACTATTGTGGGTGGAGGAAGAAAAGGCATTTGAACCCTGAAGAATTTTAATTGGTGCTAGTGAGTGAAGGTGAACTAGAAGCCATTGATGTTTCAGGTGAAAACATTAATGAGTGGGGTCTAAACAATAGATAATAGGAATAGGGTAGGAGGAGGAATGTTTAACATTTGCTGATGAAATAACCTTTTTTACTCTCCTGGCAACAAGTAGAATTCATTTCTTTAATGTTTAGACACAACCCAAAGTCTTAAATAATTTTAAGTGACCATATTCTTTTATGAGTAATAGTCAAGTCAAATATGTTTCATAGTTGAAAATGAGCAGAATAATAAAAAATTAGATCAGCACATAAAATATGAGTAAATGAGTCTATTTTAAGTGTATACATTTATTAGTAGATCATTTTTATGTGGTTGAGGCTCTGTGGGTGTAGTCCCTTAAAACTTTTTTTTTCACAGAGATGTTCAGGATATGTTCTTGATACTCCGAATGAGCAGTTGGCCTTAAAAAAAAAAAAAAAAAAAAAAAGGAAGCTTCAAAAATATTTCATGCCCAAAGTTTGCTGCCCTCATGAATAGACGGTAACAATGTCAAGAATGGTTCAGAAAAAAATCCCTTAGCACTCCTACAAAAACAAATAGCTTGACCCATTGATTGTGTACAAGTTTTGTATAGTCGGGCAGAGAACTTTATGAATACTCTTACGCCACAAGGGTTTGCTTGTTTGACATAGTGAAAGAGCATATTCTTTGACTGATTGATTGATTGATTGATTAAGATAGATTCAGCAGGGTACATGTGCAGGATGTACATGGATATATTGTATAATGGCGAGGTTTGGGCTTCTTGTGTGCCCGTCACCCAAACAGTGAACATTATACCCAATAGGTAATTTTCAACCTTCATCCATCCTCCAACTCTCCCCACTTTTGGACTGTCTAATGTCTATTCAATTTCCTCCTGTACGTCCATGTGTACCATTGTTTAGTTTCCACTTATAAGTAAGGACATACAACATTTAATTTTCTGTTTCAGAGTGATTTCTCTTAGGATAATGGCCTTCAGCCTCATCTCTGTTGCTGCAAAAGACATGACTTCACAAAGAGTATATTCTTTAAAGACAGATCCATGTTCAAAATCTGGCTCTGATACTCTTTCACGTTGTGAACCTTTGGCAAGTTATTCTATCTCTATGAATATCAGTTCATCATCTCTGAAAATGTATTTTTGGTGTAGATTAATGGCATACTTCATATCCTAGAGAAATGCCTACCACATAAATCCTCCAAATGATAACTATTGCAGTGAATTCTTTGTTACCAGCATCCAGTAAGCAGGATTTTGGAAAAACTGTGACTTTCTGCACAGTCATCAAGCACTGATAATTTATGCTTCTCTTGATGACCCCAGAATGCATTCTGAATAATTAGAGAAAGATTAAATTATAATCAGTTTAGTTTCAGTGTTAAGTGTATTTTAATTTATTCTCATTCTTTAAAAATTTGTAATCCTTCTGCATGTGGCAACAATTAACAAAAAACATTTGATTAGCTGGGGCACCACATTCCCTGACTATCAAGCTAATAAAGAGTTTTTGCAGGTTGTTAGAACTCAAACTTTTCCCTGTGCATAAACTGGGCATTTGCTGGGTAAAGTCTGTTCACACCGGTCTTCTATCCTTTCTCAGAGCCAGTGTGTCGACTGTTGGATATCTTAGATTTAATCTGTATGTATCCTTGAACAACAGTCTTAGAACTTATACCAGGCCCTTTTTGTGTATTACTTTGACACAGCGTCCTAGTCCTGGCCATCACTTCTGATTTGGTGCAGATGAGGACCTAAGTCTTCTACCTTTGAGGTTGTCTGTTCTTTTCCTATGGATTTCTAGAGATGAACACCTCAGCGGACTTTTGTAATCCATCTATCTTGGTGTTTCATCAACCTCTACTCTTACCCAGTCATGTTTTGGACTTGTTCTCACTAGGCTTTTTAGGCTATATAACCTTCCTGATGAAAACTTCACTATGCATTTGATCATTTTTGTGGTTCTTTGAACTTTCCACTTTTTTTCCCCTTTGTCTTTTCCCCCCAACACACCAATGTTATATGTTGCTGTAAAAAGTGCCTTAACACTTGATTTGTGTTAAAGGACATCTCTTCAAAAATTCATTCGTATTATTGTTCCTTTGTGATCTTGATTATGGTACATTTTCAGGCAAGCAGATTGATTTTTGTCATTTGATGGATCAACATAGGACATAGGATTCATCAGTTCCTTTTCGTCTCCCTTATTCTGCCTTCCTTTAAATATCTGCCCTACTCCAAAGTCCCTCTTTGCAACCTGACACACTTCTTTTTCATAGTGTCCTTCACATCGCAGCTGACATCCCCAATACTTACTCAGTGAACGAAGTAAGGCAGAGACTGCTTGTTTCCCTTAAAGGGAGAGTGAGGCCAAGGGGAAAAACAGCTGA